ATTTCTGTTTCTCCCTTGAGCTGCAGTCCAAGGCATCTGCAGGGCTCCTGCTCTGGCACAGCATCACTGCAGCTGGGATTGACCTGGCAGGACATTTCTGGACACCGAGCTGGTGGGAGCCCTGCTGAGGAAATCCTGGAACAGAAGATCAGCACAATGGGGATGTCACGTAGCTTGAAGCAGCCGTGTAGTGAAGAGCAGAGGCTGCCCAGGACAGCCGTGGGTAGGACATGAAATGCACAAGCTGCCTTTCAGCTCGTGCATCCCAGTGTCTGACCTGGTGTGAATTACTGGCACAGAGAGGTTTCTGTGGTAATCTAACACAAATTGAGGCCACATTACAAAATGCAACATTGCAAACTCGTTATCTTAACTTCCTGTGCTTTCTCATTTGCAGGAGAAGCGAGCTGTCCTGCCCCAGAAAAGTTATGTAGAATTATTTGTGGTTGTGGATCACAACAGGGTAATTATATCATCCAATACTAAATACATTTTATTGTTTTGCTAATTTTTCTCCTCTGACATTGTTATGGTATTTTACAGTTTTTGATGAAGAATTCTGATCCTGCTGCAGTGCAAAAGGAAACAGTGGAGCTGATTAATTATGTTGATGGGGTAGGTCAGATAAATTGCCTGGATTCAGTAGTTTCTATTTTATCATAGCGTTCAGAAGAGCAGCTTTCTTTCCAAAATATATGCTTAGGTACTTTCATAAAGCAGATTGTTTTCAGTTATACTTCATTTTATATTCTAAATATTTTTTCTTCAGTTTACAATTTATAAATATTTTATATTTCATTTAAATTTGTATAAATACAAATGTATTGAGTTTTGAAGAAACTGAAATTATGACTTGATCACTATGTTCAGCTTATTGTTTACTCAATAGTAATGAAGTCATCTTTCAGAATTCCATCAGAACAGTTGAGGGACATTAATTATAATTTTTTTTTTCAGATGTATAGAGCATTAAACATCCAGATTGTTTTGGTTGGATTAGAGATTTGGACAGATGCCAGAAAGATCTTCTGAAGCGCTCAAGAAATGATGTTGGTCACCTCATAATGTAAGTTTGCATTTGGTGGGAAAACCACCCATGCTGCCAGTGTTAATGTGTATGAGTTGGGGCTTGTATATTAATTAAAATATACCTAGAGTAAAATTCTCTGCACTTCCAAAATGGTTTAACCTGGAAAAATGACAAAAAATTGTAATGGATTCTTAAGAGTTCATCAACTCCAGGGACAGGGTGACCTCCAGAGGTCCCTTCCCACCTTAGCCATTCTGTAATTGAGTGCACTGACACAGCAGATTTAGGTGATTGATCATTATTTTCAAGCTCTTATTCAGATATTCATTATTAATTAGAATGAAACCCTGCTGTGGTGATAAATTCCTTCTTGACTTCAGGAAGACCAAATTTTGCCTTGCAATATTTCTTTCCAACTCGTCAGTGTCTTTTAGTAGAAATCATGAACTTTCAACACATCTTTACCACCACCTCCAAACTGTTTTTGTTGCAGAGGGAGAAGCTCTTTCAGTGGATCCATTGGAATGGCTTTTGTGGGTACTGTGTGCTCACATGTCCAGGGAGGATCAATCAGCACTGTAAGTACTGATTATATCCAATACTGATTATATACCAAATCAAAATTTGGATGTGGAAGAAATTGGTCCTTCACCTACTTGGTCAAATCACCCTGGTCTTGGAGTTGGCTGATTTCATTC